TATGGTTTTTGTCTTCCATTCAAATAGCAAATATAAAATAATAAGATGATACTCTTTTGGGAAAGGTCTCCAAATACAGAAATTTATTTTTTGTATGCAGCAAGCTAAATGGTTTTTAGTACACAAAGGAGAAATAGTAAAAGATGAGCTACTTCTGAAAATGGACAGGAGAAATTATCCTTCTCGTGAAAATTTAAAGAAGTTATTTTTGTTATCCTCAATTTGTTTTTAAGGTAAAGCAATTTATCAAGGTGAAAAAATTCTACCATAATAAAGATCAACTGACTTAAGTTGTATCAGCAACTACCCTAAATGAAGGTTCTCTCTTAAACTGTGATGAAAGAATCCTAGTCACTGATCTTCAGCCAGAATCTAAGTATCTGTAATTTTAAGCTGATTTGAATCCAATTTGGGTAGAAATGGATATGAGTGTTTGTCTTACATAATAGCTTGCCACAGCCTACTACTTGAATCATGTAGCATATGGAAAATGTGTTTAGCTTCTTGTAGAATTTCACAAACCAAAACAGAATCTATTTCTATGCACATGGTTTGTTTACAGTCATTATAAAAGTATTACTGTGTTGCTTACTAGTTAGAAAAAGCAAATGTTGGCACATTGCAGACTCCATTGCACTGGTCTTTAAGAAATATATGTATTGCTTTTGAGTTAAAAAAAAAAAAAACACAGTAATTGCATGTCTTTTGCTTTAGACCTAAACATTATTTTTAGGATGTATTTTAATGCTTCCACATGATCTCTCTTCTAGATATTTTATACTAGCTATGGCTGAAGTTTTATGTAAATATCTTAGAGATTGTGCTCATGCTTAAATGAACTGTCATTGAGGGATTAATACTGTAACCTTTATGAGCATGTTTTATTAATATCTTATCATTAAATTGAATATTAATAACATTTAACATTTAATAAACATAGAATGTATATATAGGAATGTATTTCATGCCAGTGGGTTTTGAATATGTCAAAAAGTCACTATACCAGCCCCCCACATCATTAAACTTACTTCTCATAATGTATTAATTGCACTGGTACAACACATTTAAGGGGCAGTTCTGGATAAAAATGATTATAATATCTTTGTTTGTCAGCATGCTGAGCAGTATGCCCTCAAGAAACAGAAGTGTTTCATACAGCTTTTGAAAATATTTTTACACTCTTAAATTCTGGAAATATATTTGCCATTAAATGATTTATAATGAAACTGAGAATTAGAGGAAGAGAATTCAAAACTATGAATATTATGAGAGATGATTAAATATTTTTATTATACTAATCTGGTTATTCTTAATGGTAAAGCAGTATAACTTGCCTACAAAGGAATACTACTTTAAATGATTAAGTAATTAAAATATACTTTAAACTATTTTTATCCTCAAAATACTAAACCAATTTTTATCTATCTACCTACCTACCTATCTATTTAAATGGTTTACCATGAATTTAAATATTTTTGATAGGTATCCTGACAGTAAAAACCCACTCCTTTTTTTATGGCAATTAAGGATTATGTTAACATGAAAAAGTAACTTTTGTACAGCTCTGTCATGTAGGAGAATACATGTGAACATCTGAGGCAGTTTCATCTTCATTTGGGAAAATTCCGTGGCTATATCAAGCTTCCTCTCTATTAGTTGGTTTCTTTTACCACCCCCTCCCCAATTTAATAATAAATATAAAACTAATAAAACTTATATTTAGGGAAACTTTCATTAGGTGTTTTGCTAATTCTATTTTGTTTGTCATTTTGATATAATAAAAAGTTTTACACATAAAACACATGTACATATGTCTATGTATATACATATATAATTGCTTATTTTAACATGGCACAGTGGCTACTTCTGAAAAGCTCTTTAATTTTATGAAGGCTGTGGAAATCTCAAAAGGGAAATCTCTATTTCAAGGAGTATTCTCCTTGTAAAAGTAGATCCATATTTTTCTCAGAGTACAGCTCATAGCCAGATCATTGCTCATGACCCACTTGCCTCTTCATTTGGAAGATGTTTTTCTCCCTCCTATATCCAGGGGATATATGTTTCTTAATACAAAGTTTACACCTGAATTCAAGGATATTTGGAATATAAAGAATATCCTTCTTGCACTGCTCTAATTCATAAAATGCCAAGTATATTCATAAGTACAAAGATTAAGGATATTGGATTATTAGGGATAGTTCCCATTTCAAATAGGTTTTGAAAAATAACCTCTGAGTTCAAGCATCTTCTGCTCCACTGCCACCCACCATGTACTATTATCAACTGAAATTTTTCTCCAGAGACACAAAATCTATTGTTTTGAAGTGAGTTAATGCTTAAAAAGCAAAATAACCTGAATTGATGTAGTTTACACCGACATTAGAGGGTCTACAAAATTTCCATCACTGAACAAAGCCTGATAAAAATGTAAGTAAGTCACATCACCATGATTGAAGACCTCCTATATTCACAACACTGAATTAGACCTGATAAAGAAGGAACATATTTCTCAATGCTGATATGTAAAGCAATGATATTATAATATATCCTTGAAAATATAGGGATCAGGGTCCCACAACAGAGGAGAGAAGATGCTGAAAAGATGGAGAAGTGAGTATCTTCAGAATCCAGTTGGATATTTAAGGGAAAGAAATGACTTGCAGAGTTCTGTCATGGGTGTTAGGTAGATTTCAGTGTCCATTCACCACCATCAGAGTACAGAGTGGGAAGTTCAGGAGAGGCTGAAGTAGTGAAGCCTGGATGAGCTAGGAAACAATGATCCAGAACTCTATATAAAACTGAGGTCAGTGCTAGGGATAAGTGTAAATTAACTAAACCTTGCACTGTGGCCCTTTCAAACAACTATCATTGTGTAACTGACATCTTTGTCAATTTTCATCTGGACTAAGTCGTTCTCTAGGCTTTATATTACAACCAAAGTAACTATTCCAAAATAAAATCTAATAATCTTTCTTTCTTGCTTAATAACTTTCATTGGTTTCCTACCGCCCATAAGAAAAAGTGTAACCTCCTTATCTTGATACAGAAGGCTCGGTAGGACGTGGCTATGGCTTGCTCTGCCAGCTCTTCTCCTACAGCTGCCCACTGTGGCCTTGCACTCTGGCTTACAGAAACACTGGCATTGATCCACTATGAAGAGCAAGCTGTTTTATAAATCCATACCTTTGCATATGCTGTTCCTCCTGCATAGGGTGCTGTCTCCACTTTCTAGCTTGTTTCCTTTCTTATACCCTTGTAACTGGTAATTCCCATCATCCTTCAAGATGAAATTGTAATATTCTCCATGATAAATTTTTCCAGCAACAATCCTTCTTCTGTTATCACTGGACCTTACATTTCTAATATGACAATTAGACAATTATTTTAATCATTTATATATCTGCCTCTCTTATTAAACCAGGAAATTTCAGCTATTTCAGGTGGTTTGGGTTGGAAATAAGTCAAATGATGCAATAATCCATAGCTTTCTACCAAAATGTATTCTTTCTATCTATCAATGAATAAAAGGAAGCTCTTTAGACTTGCCACATCCAAATTCCTCTTTCTCAGATATTTGGATAAATTTCAAGTCACCATCTTATTACACACACTATACTTGAGAAGAATTCTAAATGTCAAACATATACAAAGGGAGAGAGAATAGTATAGTGAATCCATTACCCCTTTTCAACAATTATTAACTAATGGTCAATCTTGTTCTGCCTGTGATGTCCATAGCTCCACTCTCCTTTTTCCTTCCAAATATTTTGAAGCAAATCCCAGACGTAATAACTTTTCATTTGTAAATATTACTGTATATTTCTAGAAGATAAGGACACTTTGAAAACATACTGATGATACCATTATCACACCTAAAATATTAACAATTTCTTAATATTAAGAAATCCTTAATCAGTATTCAATTTTGTACTACTTCTCATTTTAAAAAATTGTTTGTTTGAATAAAGACCCAGTAAAGTCTATACTGGATGGGTTGACGTTTCTTTTAGTCTAAAGCAGCAGTTCTTAACTGGGGGCAATTTTGCCCTATAAGAGACACTTTTGGCAGTCTGGAGACATTTTTAGTTTTTACAACAGCTATGGACTGAATGTTTGGGTTCTCCCAAAATATGTGTGTTAAAATCCTAACCTCAATGTGATGGTATTTGAAGATGGGCCTTTGGGAAGGTTAGATTAGGTCATATACAGGTGGGGCCCTCATGATGGGACTAATGTCCTTATTAAAAGAAGGCACGGGATCTCTCTGTGCTCATGCACAAGGCCGTGTGAGAATATAACTAGGAAAAGGCCTCTTATCAACAATCCAACCATTGGATTATTGTTTAAGCTGCCCAGTCTACGGAATTCTGTTGTAGCAGCCCAAACTAACTGAGACAACTAAAGGAGGGGTGCTACTAGTACCTGGTGGGTAGAGGTCAGGGATACTGCTAAACATCCTACAATGCACAGGAAAGCTGCCACAATAAAGAATTATCCACCCCACCACCCCACAAATGTCAATAACACAAGGTTGAAAAGCCCTGGTCGAGTGGTTCCTCCTTCACCTATTTCTTATTACAATTTATTCATTGAATAAACTGGGTCATTTGTCCTACAGAATTTTCACAATATTTTGCTGATGACAGACTATGGTATCATTTTTATATTTTTCTGTCCCTTGTATTTATTAGCAATTAGATTTAGAAGCTTCATCAGATTTAGACCAATTTTTTAGCAAAAATAATTGATTTCATAGGTAGTATTGTGTACTTCCATCAGGAGGTACACACTGTCTTATTCTCTCTCATCACTAGAGAGAACTCTTGATGATCAATGTCTAGATCCATTAATTCAATAGAGGTCCCAAAATGATAATATTTTATTCTTATAATTTCTTAATTTATTAAAAACATCAGTTTCTTGGAAATATTTTTTTACAATGTTTGATATGAAAATAGCATAGTGCATAAAACATTTACTCATTCTGTATTTCTTTTCAGAAATATCCTGTACCACCTTGATGGGAAGACAAGCCAGTTTTCAATACTCCTGGAGGCTTGGGAACACTGCAAGTCACTTGCATCAAATGAGACCCTTCAAGAAGCCCTGTCAGAAGTATTGAACAGCATTAATGCAGCTCAGGTTTACTTCAAAGCAGGACTTGATGTGTTTGAGAGTGTCTTAGTTGGAAAGAACTGAGAAAACTCTCAGCATTTGAAAACGTTTGTTTACAGTTCCTCAAGTGAAAGCTCTAATCTGACTAGATTTTCTGACATTGAAGACTTTTTCCCTCCAATGGCTTTTGATATAAGTATAAAGCTATCTTCCTTTGTATTTTTTAATGTATGTGTAAAAAGAGCATTTTGCACATTTAATATTGTTTCTTATATCTAGATTTCTGATTATGTAAAAGCAAGTTATTGAAATAATACTTAAGGTTTATCTATTAAAAAGAAATCTGCTGTATCTATATCTATCTATATATCTACAGATATAGATATATCTGTAGATATATAGATATATATAAAATATTTGGGGGGGGAATTTTCCAAGAAGTTCTGGACAATCTTCGGTCCTATGGATAAAACACGTAGAAACAAATGATTCCCTGTGTTAGAGCTTTAGTGACCTAGTTTCTGTAATAGAAATGAAGAGTTGATATGGTTTCAGATTAACTTTCACTATCAAGTATTCGATATGAAGAATGCGTATTCTGACTGAGTGACTGGTTGACCAAAACCACTTTGAATGTGACTATTTTATGAAGTGAAGTGCCTGTTAGTAACACAACTAGATGTAGTAATACACTGGTTATGAAATTGTATTTTTTTAAGTATTAATGAAAAAAAAAAAAGAGCCATAAACATTCCAGGGGAAAATCTTAAGGTAGCTGCATAGAGCAATATAAATGTAAATTTTTTTCCTAACAACTTATAAGGTGACTAGCTTTGAAATCCCTAATTTGTCTCAGTTGATTTCAGGAGTGATGTACGTCTTACGAGGGAGAAAATATTTATTTCTTCCTGTGCTGTTTCTGTTGGAAGCACTGAGATAGAGCTACTTTAAAATGAAGCATCTCACATTGCTCTTCCTTCATGTACTTTTCTGAAACTCCTTGCTGTAAGGCACTTTTCACAGAATACCATATAATTTCCACAGGAAAGTAGCAAAGTTTCTCTTTGAAAACCCAAAATATCTTAAAAAGCATCAAATTGCTATTTCTGCCACTAACAAAAAGGACTTCTTATGAAAGAAATAGTTATTTTGATCAACGAAAAGCTCCTTAATTCTACAAAAAATCTTTTGATGTTTTTTCCCTTCTTTATCCTTAATTGTGACTAAGATGACAATGTAGAAAATATTCATGCTTCTACTTTTAGGCAGAAAATACAGTGTTACTATACTTCAGTTCTTCTCTCATGTTGAAAATGAAGCTTTTCATACTGACATTGTCATTGAATGGCCTTAGTACCCACTATTCCCCGAAGCCACAGAATTCCATTAGGTGTTTAAACTTTGAGCTTACCTTTAGAAATTGATTTGGTATTTGACAAAGCAATTCCCCTTAGGAAACATATCCTCAGAATATTTCATGTGGATTATTTTTCTCTAACACAACATTGAAACACACGTCCCCATCATATGCCTCCAGAGCAACTTCATAGACAGTGTCTATAGGTCTAAGTCTTCACTTTTTAATGGATGAACATAAACCTAATCTTAGTTTAAAGGGAAACTGAAGTTGAAAGGAGAGAATTAATCAGCATTGATTGATTTATAAAGGTCAGCTATTCCTACTGTAAGTAATGCTTATATGCTCAAGGCAAAGAAGAGAATTGAGGCAATTAGCTAGATAATTCAAGCAGAAATCCATTTTCATCTGAATTGCCTGTGTGCACATATTTTACATAAAAAATGAAACTACCTTACAATATATATTTCGTAAACAATGCACTTGTGTGTCTGAAAGTATTTGCCATGTTGAGGAGTGTGTATAGGAAAGGGCTAAAGAACCAAGCTCCCACAAGCCTCAATGTCAGTGCCCTCTCTTGCTACACAGAAAACAGCAGAAAAGAGGTGGGAGGAATACACATACAGTTGCATGTCAGGTCAAATAATAGAATCCCTTATACCAAAGGATCAGAAATAGTGAATCAAGGTTCAATGTATTCATTCTAGTTCTTCCTTTGGAGCTGAATTTGAAACAAACAAAGACAAATAATTATCAGTTAGGTAGTTTATCATTTTAGAACAAAATCCTAAGTAAATTCACTCCCTTAGTTTCTAATATAGCATTGAGAGCACAAAACACTTGTGTTCATATATTTTTGTTTAAAGACTGTGTACTTAGCTAAACCACACTGCACAGATCAAAATCTCAATATTCTGTATTTTTTACTTCTATATTATATGGTATTCGCTACTTGAAGACTGAAGTTAACTATGGACTAACATTTTTATTAGTCTATTTAAGAGATGATGTGAAGAAACTAAATTATAATTAAAACAGATGTCCATCAATTATATAAATGTTGCTCTACATCTTTGACTGCAACAAACCTCTTAACTAAGAACATTACTGCTATAGTCTGATTACCTCAGAGTTTCTTTAAATTTATATCATTTAAAATTTTCCCTAATAGATCCAAGTAAATAAAATCCTTTGCACATTAAAATAACAAGTGTTTTCAGTAAATTGGTAGTAGGTTTAAATTGTTGCTGAGATATCTGGGTGCCTGGTACTTCTCACAATCCTTCATACGTAGTATTCTACCAGGACATAATGAATCATAAATGATTATTCTCCCAAGAAAATGTGGCAGATGTGCACCACTGCAATTTGGGTTCAGGCAAGGGCACACGTGGGATACAACCCTTTGTGAAAAAGTATAGATTCCAGAGTAAAAGGAAGCCTGAGACATTCTGATCTAAGCCCTAGGATGTTACCTTCAGTCGGGAAAGCATCAGTGTTCCCATCAGATACACTAACTGCATACAAAGTGATTAAGGAACTGGGGTAGAGTCACATATTCAGTTAGTAGCAGAAGTGCTGCTAGAATTTAAGCTTCTCTGCTTTCTCATGCAGTATATAATGGGGTTATAAATGATCTTTTCCAGTACACTCTATATAACCAGCCATTCTATCAGATGATGTATGGGCTGGAATCACTGCCTTTTAAATGAAGAACTAGTTCATTCTCTGACTATACCTAACAAATGAAACTGTCCCAGGGAATCCACGCAAAAGGCACAAAGCCTGGGTACTTGTGGGGAGGTGGAGAGTCTCTACATGACACCAGCAGTCAGGAAGGAGGGTATTAAGTAAAATGCTTTTATGAAAGGACATTTTAGCCCTATATTAAATCAGCAGTTTAAATCAGTATTTCTGATTTGGGGGAAGAAAGCCTAGGAATCTTCATCTTCAAGCAAAATTTCCCAAATGATCCTTATGCATACTGAGGTTTAAGGATTTCTCATCTAATTAATCCTGGGTCCTGAGAAAACATCACTTGGCGATATACTAAAGAAACTGAAAAGTCACAATAATAAGAGATACCTACGGCTTTGCTGTGAATGGCACCATTTTAAAAAGAGGGAGAGAGAGTAACCATTGTATCTCTCAAAACAGATGCAGACACAGCTAACGTCTGTGCCTACTACAGGTCAGGAACTGTTCTAGATTTAACGTATTTGTTTTTTCTAATGAATCCTCACAACAACTCATTTTAAAAAATGAGGAAACTTGGTGGAGTGGCTTGCCCAAAGTTCCCCAGCTATAAAGACTGGGTCCAGACTTGTGTTATTCACTCTGTGTGCTGCAAAAAGTTAAAAATCTTTTGATTATAGAAAGTGATATGATTGACATTTTTAATGTATTTCTGCACCACTGATCAGACTATGTCATCTGCCACTTCACTGGCTTAATGGAGGAGTTTGAAGAAACCTATGACATCATTCCTCATTATGGTAGCCCACCCCAACAATGGTGGACATATGTAGATAACTTAGATCTATAAAAGCATTAAATATAAGTGCACCATTGTAGAATACCATGACAACTAGATGAAAAATTATAACAGACCACACGCTACATCTCATAATTTCCTCCGCAAAATGTCCATATAATTTCACTGGGGAAACAAAAAAAGACCAGGTTCTGGGATTTACAACCACAGTTTTATATTGTCCTTAAAACACAGAATAACTAATTGACTTCTTAAATTACATAAATATTCCATATATAGTAGCTTTCCCCCTTGCAAAGATAGGTGTTACAAAAATAAAATGATGATTCGTTACCATCTGTCCAATGATGAATCGGCATCTTTGCCTCAAATGAAAAACTATTTTTGTAATTAGTAGACCTAGCCAAAAGTGTTCTCATGAGATAGTCTGTGTTATATGTAATTACTCCAACAATTAAGCTTTCTCTGTGGGTAGCACACTGTCATCTCATTGGTTTAAAGGGCTATTTAAATGTGCCTTAATTACACGTTCCTTCAATAGAAAGGAATTACATTTTAAACTGCTAATCCATGTGTTGAGTGGAAGGGAAATGGGTCTATATATTCCAAAAGATAGATCAGCAACCTAATGGTTCCATCACAGGAGCATGGATGCAACCCAGGAGAAAAAAGATAGTGTGGTATTTGAGCAAAGAAATATTCTACCTAGGTGCACTAGTGAATCTGTATTTCTTGCATGAGTTTAAATTGGTAGTTTAAAAAAGCCTCATTAGAATTGCTATTCAGAAAGTTAACTTCTCAGAGTTTTAAGCACCCCATTAAGTATAAATACTTTTAAGTTAAATGTGTTATTTTATGCAATTTAGAATTTCAAGTGATGTAAATTTAAAGTGGAGTTGCAAAAGAAAGTTTTTAAATGTCACCTATTTTGGTCACCACAATGTCCACTGAATTTTCTGTCTTCGCTTTCTAAATATACTCTAGCAATGGGATTAGGATTTTTTTTTTTTAAGCCCGAGAAAGTAATTTTAAGATCTAGTCTTCTCAATATACATTTATCTGTTAATCAGCCAGAGTTTTATTTCCATAATGACATTCCATTACCCTTCAAAGATGTACACTGAAGTGCCTTTAGCATTCCTGAGACCACCAAGAATCTTGAGAGCTTGCTGATTGTGAGATGACATATTTCTTAAAGACATTTACAGTTTCATACTCAGATTGTATCTGAAT